GGGCGTACAGATTGCATGCTAATGTACCTTGGCATACTGTGGATAATGTCTTGATACCAGTCAACTTGAAGGACAAACTACACTGGGCATTGGCTGTTGTCACATTCAAGGAGAGATGTATCAAAGTGTATGACTCGTACAGATTTGCAGGTCATGATGCCTATGTAGTTTCTGAGATTGATAAGCTAGCTAAGCTTCTACCTCTGTATCTATCAATCAGTGGCTTTTACAGAGATAGTCAAGGCATAGATTGGTCTGCTTATTCAGTATACACTAACAAGTCACATAACGATCCCTTTGAAGTTTTTTTCATTTCAGATCTGCCTCAATAGAAAGCTGGGAGCATGTAAGTATTCAATCATCATTCTTGTTTGTTATATACAAATCTAATTGTATGAATTATTTTTAATTATTTCAATCAATTATTTTTTAGGGATTGTGGAGTGTATGTTGCAGTATACGCAGAGTTTCTGAGCACTCTTGGAGAGATTCCAAAAACAACATTTGATTCCACACTACTCCGTCAAAGATATGGTGCTCTCCTATGGGACTATGCTATGCTCAAGATAGACGCTGATGCCATAAGCGAGAATGAAGCATCTTCAAAGATTGCTAGGCAAATCACTGAGTCGGAGGCAAAGATGCAGATAGTGTTAGAATAGCTTTAGGTTATTGTAATTTTGGAGTGTAGTTTCAAGAAGAATACTGTTTTGAGTAGTTTTGGGTGTAGATGCTATTTAGTTTGAAAAACTTATCACTTATAGCAACAATGTTCGTATATGACAATTGCAACTTTTCAATGACTGTTTCACTTGGTTTGTTCATAAGTATTCATGCTTATTCTTCAGTTTGAATACATATTTATCTTACAGGAGTCAAGTATGTATTAATACCAAGTAACTTTTCTTGAATAGGTTTTAGTTAATAAACATGTTAACGTCAAAGTCAGAAACTTTATATATGCTGATGGTATGTTATACAAAAGAATTCAGCTGTATTTTTTTTTCTTTCAGTTGTATTCAATTGTATTTAACTGTCAAATTCAATTGTATTCAGCTGCATTCATTCAGATATATCTTTCAAGTTCAGATAATACATATTAAAGAACACAATTTCAGATGTATTAAGCAGGTTGTACGTAGTCAGTTGTATTCAGATGTACTAAGTTGTATTTAAGTGTATTATTCAGCAGTAGTTATTTGTATTTAAATGTATTATTCAGATGTATTCAGCTATTTTTTGGTGTATTCATTTACTAAAAGTGCTACTGAACTGTATTATTCATAAAAATACAGTTGTGTTTTCTAATATTCAGCTATACTCAGTTACACTCAACTATATACTTCATATATATTTATCTGTATAAAAATACTTCAACTACATGTATTCAGAAAATTCAAGAAAGTCATTTCAAAATATATTACTTGACAAAGAGAATTTATTATAGCTGATAATGTCATCAAAAGTATTGACAAATCGTTGAAGCACCAATACATATCAGAGTGTTAACTATTTATTACGTGGAGCATTTCTACACGTTCGCTTGTTATGTCCTCCCTGCCCACATATGCTACATGAATGTTGATTTTTCGGATGCAGCAATTCACTTAAAGTTTTATCGCGCTTCTTCTTTGGCCTTCCAGGAGGTCTTTTCCATTTGGGTGGTAGTACAACCTCCTGTGCAACATGTTCTGGTATATTCCAGTCATTTTTGTCCGGTAGCGGGTACACTGGCACATCGTATGTCATTACAATTGTACTTGGTTTGTAATAGTTAGAGCAATATTCTTCTGGCATTAGAAACTTGCTCTTCCATACATCCCAAGCATGTGGGCATGGCAATTCATCAATTTGGAACCTCCCACAAACACATTTTCTCTCTAACAGGCAAACTGTGTAATTCCTCCCACCATCGTTAACCGTATGTAAGTATTCAGTTGATGGTACCACTACATTTAAAAATAGAAATATAAGTTTTGAACACATTTACCTAAATTACCAAATGTATAATGCTGAATTAATAAGTTACATACAACTGAAACATTTGCATATATAAGAATACATCATATATTTAGACCAGCAAAATATCAACTGCGAGAAGTGCAGAACTTATCCAAAGTCTGATGTACTTTAGGCAACAGTATGCTAACAAAAGCATTAGAATCATACGTATTCACAATACATATAAAAATTACATATCATAGAGCTAGTTGTATTCTGATGTATTCTAATTGTTTTTCCAGCATGTTTTTAGTTATATTCAGTTGTATTCATATCAGATCTATGGAAAAATATGTCTTTTATGTGCTTGAATATAGTTGTATTCATATATATTAATGGTAGTTCTACTTAAAAATGATTGTATTCAGTTGTATTCATGCCACTAATTCAGAAAATAACTAAAAATATATACAGCAATGACTGTAAAATTTAACTTACAGTCATACGTGTACACATTGTCTCATTCAACTCCAGCATCTCCTGGTATTTTTTCCCAAGCGTCTTGTATGTCTGTGTAGCTTCTTTGCTGTTACTACAATTCCAACGTCCAAACATCTTCCTTTCGAGGAAGTCGTATATTGGCAATTCCCTTGCTGAAACTAGTGCGCCATTGATTGACTCAGCAATATTTGACGTCATTGTCCATCCCCTGTTAACAGGTGCATACAACCTAGCCCACTTTTCGTAACCAGCTAACTCTAAGTATTCTTTCACCCTACTATCTACCTTCTCCACCTTCTCCATCAGACTGTCAAATTTAGCTTGTGTGTATGCTTTTGCCATCGAGAAGTATATCTCGCTCAACTTGGCATGGCTCTTTTTGAATTTCTTATATACGTTGTTCCATAGATGCCATATACAAGCAAAATGCGGTACATCTGGATACACTCTCGATACAGATTTAATGGTACTCTCATTTCTATGTGAAACGATGCTCATGTTTTCCCTTACACCGTATGCTATCTTGAATTGCTCAAAGAACCACGTCCAAGCAGCATCGTTCTCTGAATCAATAACACCATATGCTAGTGGCAATATATGACCTATAAATACAATTGAATATAATTATTATTAAAACATGTATTTCAATATTTAAAATATTAATAGATTGTATTATTATTCAGATACTCACCTGCACCATCCAACGTGCTTGCCGAAACGAATGTCCCGGTGTAGTAAGATTTTAGGTGACTTCCATCCACAACACAATTGGTCTACAATGATCAAACCCCCTTATAAAGGCATACAATGATATATACACGTACATGAATTCATTTTTTGGCGATTTTACCATTCTGATGTGGGAACCTGGATATGTCATATCCATTGTATATAAGTATCCTGGTAATTTTTTGTACGAATCAATCGGTTCACCTCTCAGAAAATTCATTGCCTTTTCTTTAGCCCTCCACGCCAACATGTAGCTAACATCTACACCTAAATCTGATTTCACATCATCAATAATATCCCTCGTAGTGTATTTCCTCTTATGGTTTGTAAGCTTTGGCCTTATAATTCCACCTATAAGGCTGCTACTAGCCTGCCGCTGCTCGTACACCTTGTCCTTCAGCGGACATGTATGGTTATCATTGAATTCTCTCACCTTGAATAGTTCTGATTTGTTAATGCTTGAAGCCTTAAACCTCCATTCACAATCTTCTGAAATACATAATAATGCATAGCTGCAAATAATTAATCATTTTACATTCGATTAGCATAATTGTTTACAAAAAATACAGCTCATACACAGACAAATACAATCTGACATATATGCATCCTGACATATATATATAAATTTGTATACTACTGAATTCATTTTAGTTATATGCGTTTAAACACAATGAATACAACTGAACACTTGTATGTATATGCAAACACTTAATACCACAGTAGACAAAATAAGAACATAATTAGAGCCACTGTTGTATTTTTACACCAGTAAAATACATTTGAATACATGTATTTAAGGACCCTAAACAAACATATGTTTTCATCTGTGATCATCAGGACGAAATACACAAATTCGCATAAATACAACTACGTTAAACAAACGGCGCGAATCAATAATGGAAAATACAAAGGAAACAAAAATTTAAATACATGCAAACCTGACAGCATTAGACCGATCAACCCGGAGTTGAAACCTTTGA